AAAGAAAGAAAAAAAAAGGAAAAAGAAGGGCTCTGCTCTCCTTAGATTTGAGCTGGCAACTTTCACTGACTGGAGTTTTCAAGGAGCTATGAATGAGCCTAACAAAGGAGTTCTGTGGCCAGTTTCTGGCTGAAATCCATGTCAACAGTTTTTAAGGTCACAGGTCACACTAACTAACATTTATTCCCAGCAGACCCCGCTCTAAACACAAGCTGTAAGTAGTACAAATTTGGAATTTTTCTGTAATCCCTTGAGATATTCCTGATCCTTCCACATGTTTCTGCTCAATTAAAAACAATTCTCACTTTGCACCACAAGAGAGGCCCCTGCTCAGAAATCTTATTCTGTCCTAAGAATAAATGGACAAAGACTGCAATCAAAGGGAAGGAAAGGGGGGAGGAGAGGAACTCACAACAAATCACACCAAAAACCTCAAATAACTCCATACAGAATCACATTCAGTTAGTTACATTTTCTGCCATCTGTCACAAACTATTATGGATTCATTTCTTTTTATCTTAGAAAAAGAGTGGTGCAGAGCTCAGCTATTTTGGCCAAGAGGGATTTCCACACAAATGTTTCTGCATTGCACTTCAAAAGAATGATTTCAGTTTGGGTACAAAACCTGAATAACCCAACAAAAACTTCAAATTCAGTAAAACTGAAATCAGAGTTGCACAGGGGACCTTTGCAAACCAGCAACTTTGCCCAGGAAGTTTGTGAAAACTACACAGACTTGGGTTTGCTTTAGTTTCCCTTTTAAATAATAAAAGACCAGAGCTCTTCACTAAATCCAGAGCTACCTACACCATTCTCCCTCAAAAGCCCATGTGAAAAAATAGAGTGAAACAATAGAAATGCAGCCTCTTAATGTACAGCTATTAAGATTTATCCCATTGCAGCTGAAATCCTGAAATCCTTAAATAAAGTCTTAGAAAGAAAAGGCACTTGGGTGTGAAATTCCCAATCAGAACACAGAATTTGATGACTGGACATGAGCTCTTACTCTAGGGTTAGAGAAAATAATTGAAAAGCACATTTTAAGTTTCGTACCATATTTCATTGAAAAAGGTAGACTGGAATTCCAATTTCCCCGGTAGATGTGGGTGTGTGCCATGAGAACTCACCTGGGTTCACCCCGAACCCCGGGGCTCTGTCCCTCTCTCACCTGGGTTCACCCCGAACCCCGGGGCTCTGTCCCTCTCTCACCTGGGCTCTGTCCCTCTCTCACCTGGGCTCACCCCGAACCCCGGGGCTCTGTCCCTCTCTCACCTGGGCTCACCCCGAACCCCGGGGCTCTGTCCCTCTCTCACCTGGGCCGTACCTGCGCCCCCGCGCGCCCTCTGCTGGCGCCGCCGCCGCAGCGCAGCCGCTGCGGGTCACCCAGCCCGGCCCCGCAGCCTCACCTGGAGCCACAGAAGCGGGGCGGGGAACAGGAACCCCAGGAAGAGAAGCACGTTGGACACTGAATAGAATACAATACATTGAATACAATCACAGAACTCCCGGAAAAGCAGGTCTCAAAGTTATCCGAGAGTTCATCAATGTGTAGTGTGAGCTACCGCAGCAGGAAAACCCCTGTGGTAAATACCTCAAAAGCAGTTTCTAAGCAGTATTGCTTACAACAGTCAAAGATTGCTTACAACAGTCAAAGCAGTTCCCTACCACATGGAACGGCCTCTCTGCTGGCCACAGGATAACCCCACTGCTGCTCAACTCCAAGAGGGGCCTTGCTGTGCTCTGCATCCACAGGGAAAAGCCTCGGGGTCACTTCAAAGCTCAAGTCCAGACCCTGACTTCTGGCCCTCGAGGACTTTGCTTCCAGAACATTGCAGAAATTTTTTTAAGCACTCTCTGAATGAAAAGAATTTCTTTTTTCTGCTGTTTCTCTTCAATAACTAATCTAAACATGTGATGATTTTCCACCTCCAAAACATTTTATGATGGCCAGACCCACAAAATCCCTGATAAGCCTGTGAATGTCATCTCTAGTAATAAACACCATCACTTAGTTCTTATACTGTTGCTGAGCATAGCAAGGAATACTTGAAGCTTGCTGCCATCCAATCTGTAATTTAAAAACAATTAAACAAACATTCTTTTCATCCCCATTTGCCTTTACTTACTGTTCTCACATTTCTCAGCATGTTTCCCCCCACCCATTTTCCAAGCACCATCCTTTAGTACATAAAGGACACTGAGAAGATTCACACCAATAATGGGAGCTGCAGTCCTGGCACTAGAGGAAGTGATTTCATGTATTGCTGATTTACACTTTACTACCCTCTAAAACTTGCATGAACTTGCATTAATGATGAACTTTTTTTTTCTCATCAGTGCACAGGACAAAGAAGCAACAGGAAGGAAGTGAAGAGTCCCAATTCATCCACTGTGGTTGGTTTTGGGTTTTTTTTTTTGGTTATGAGTTGAAGCAGAAGGCTTTAACTACAACAGAACTCCTCCATTCCTTCTTGGCACTCACTCAACATAAGGGAGCTGACAGCAAAGAACTCTTATCCAGGAGGGATCAAGAAGGGACCCAGACTATTCCTCATTCAGATTTTCTTTCTAAAACTGTGTTTCTCCTTTAATTTGACATTAATCAGGCAAAGTTATCCTCCTTAAGCAGACACTGCCCACATGAGACTGAGGGAATCAGCCCCTGACTGCCAGGGGAGCAGCTCTGTGGGAAGAGCTGGGAAACACCTTCCTGCCTGCAGGATACAGCCCCTGCTGCTGGCCTGCCAGAGCTAATAATAGCTGAGTGTCTGCTACAGCAAAGGCAGAATGGAAGAAGATACTGAGCAAACACCTGTCACTCTGCCTCCCACTCCATTCATTAGGAATTTGGGTAGATCTCACAGCAATTCTCCAAATATTGAGCTCCCATTCTATGGCACTGCTGTGTGCAGTCCCCTGGAAGGACAGGTGACCTGGTATTCTGCAATGCCCCCCTGGAATGCTGCAGAGGGGCACGTCCAGACACAGCCAGGGTCCCCTCTCAGGTGCCCCACACAAGGCAGGAACAAAGAGAAGTTCCCTTGTTCTCACTCTGGTCGTGTCCCGTGCAAAGCCAGCCAGGGATGGCCCTGACAGATGTGTCCAGCTGCTCCCAGAGCAGTGTCCTCATTTGGGAGGCTTCAGCCCCAGCTGTGCTGTCACCTCCCTTGGCTGTCCTCAGTCCCCTCTGTGCTGCCTTTACCTGGGCTACTGCTCCTAAACTTCCAATTCCTTGTGAACATACAAAAAGTAGGAAAAAAAAGACAGACAATTCTTCAATTTGTTTAAAACAAGACAGACCATTTGCCACATGAAAATCTTCAATCCATGGAAGCTCTTAATGGAGCTAAAGTATTGGTAGACATCAAAATTGATTTTACTGGCATCCTTTCCTGCAGCAAATATAAATAAAAACTTCTGGACTGTATTCCAACATGGCTGTGGGAGGTTATCAAAAACTACTCTGATAGGGCCTCTTGGGCCATTTTCTGTGAAATGCACAGTTCCAGCTTCCACTGACAGTCTTTATCATGCCAAACTTCACAAAGCCCTCAGCAGGACAGAGGAAAGCTCACACATACAAACTTTGGGGCTGTGGAGAGCATCAGTGACATTCTCTCAGTTACCAACAGATGTTTTGTTAATAAAACTTGCATGTAAAAATGTCCACAAAATGTCTTAACAAGATCAGTTGTGACAGCTAAAGATAACAGCTGCCATCATGCTATGTCATATCAAATTACTGCACAGAGACTTTTTTTTCCACATTGTTAACTCCAGAACGTTGACTACAAACAAATACAGTTATCTACAGAGGAACTCCAAGTGCAAGGGATTTTGCACCACTTGTGCAGAAGAGCAGTGACTTCGAGGAGCAGATAGGGAAATAACTCTGAACAGCTGGGAATGGTAATTGCAGTGTAACTGCAAAGTCAAGCACTGCTCCTGCAGTCAGCCAGAAGCCAAAGCACAGACCTACCTTAAGATACAGAAGCAGCTCTTGGCCCCTGAAGATAAACGACAGAACCCAAACCTCTGCTTGCTGTCAATGTCTGTGAGCACAAACGTGAAGTTCTGCCCAACTTGGTTAATGGCATGGCTGGAAACAGAGAGCAAGAGAGAAAAATTACTGAATAGCTGAGCTAACTGTGTCAAGTATCACATCCAAGTCATTGAACCTGTAACATTTCCTCTTTCAGCAGAGTTTTTTTGAGAAATTAACTAAAAAGTATGCATCCTCCAGAACCTTAAATATACTTGGTGAGGGAGGAGTGGGGGGTTTGTGGGGGTTTTTTTCCCATTTTTTAAGTGTGGGAGGATACTAATAATGAGTTTATCTTAAAAAGAACATGGTTCTGACTATCAATCAGCAACCAACCCCATGTTCTCTCATATAACCCAAATTATTTCTAATTATAGGAAGTTAAGACTTATTTCAGGTCATGTTCTAGGGGTTTTTTTTTATTCTCTGAGAACTGAGAAATCTGACTTGCACTGACATGCAGCTTTACAAGTCTCTCCTACCAACAAATACCCTGGTAAATTCAAGGATATTTCACTAACAGACACAGGCCTTAAAATATTCTCTTATATGATGCCACATGCAAGAACCCATTTTTTGTGGGAGAGTAGAGGAAACAAAGGAAAAACAGACTTGAAGAAATAAATGCTGGATCCTAATGGGAAAGATGTCAGTGTCCAACTTAGAAAGAATCTTTCAGTGGATTCCAAACAGGGAAGAAAAAACATGCATTGATGAAGATGGACAAAAAGACAGATATTTAAAGCATTCTAGTAGTCTGAGAATTAGCCAGTGTAAGTATTATCATCCTCCTGAAATCTAAATGTCAGCAGAGCAACAACTTCCATAAATCACACTGAGCTGCTGGGGATACCCAAAAATCCCTCACTGGTGGTGTGTTTTATCTGTAAAGCTTGGATGTAATGTTACTATGGTGATTTTAGTATGGTGTTTTAAAAGGGGATTATATGCTTAATTTTAACAAGGTTGAGAGCAGAGCGTGTGTGAGAAATAGCATTCAAGCTGACAATTAAAATTATGGAACAGGGGGAAAAAACACGTTTCATTAGCAGCAGGGAGAAGCTTGTTTATTAAACAACTCAGACAAGCTGGTGAGTTCCCCCAGAGCAAACCTAGAGAGTCCTGCATTCATGTGACCTGGACAAACCAGACCTTGCTGACAGGTCTAGCTCAAGTTTTGGTGCCAGTTCTTCATAGGGAAGGATAAACTTCCCAATATACAAAGGATTCTTCCTCAAATTTTAGTGTCAGATTCACAGCTCTGCTTTCAAATGGGCAGAAGGTCTATTTAGAGCCTCACAGGATGGAAGCAGCATAAATCTCATCTCTAATGGGGCAGACAGAAGTTAGGGCTGGAGGAAAGGGGAGGGAGGAGGATTTCCATAAAATCCCCCCCAGCAGCCACATCTGACTGCCACAGTTCTGGCAGGGAGCAGGAGCAAGGAGCAGCTCTGCACTCTGCAGCTGGGGAAGAGCCTCTGCCTCATTCCACCAGCACAACAGCAGAAAACTCCTGGTCCACTGCCTGAAGGAATGGCCAAGCAGCCCCTGGGGCTCTGAGCAGTGGTTACAACACAGAACCTGAACACACTTGTAAAAACAATGAAGTGTCTGTGCCACCGAGAGCCACAACCTTCTGTGCCACCTCCAGGTGCTTTTCCAGGCAGAGGAGAAGGAGCACAAGCTTCTCCTTCAGCTGCCACAGCCTCAGCCTGGGCTGGCCCCTGCCCCCTGCAGTGGGGGAGCCCATTCTCCAGCTGAAATTATTAAGTATGTTCTGGGTGACAATGTCTCCTTTATGCTCAAACTGGTTGGCTTGCAGACTCTCAGTGACAGTCTGTGATATTCAGACAAACAAGTGGATCCAGAAATGGGAATCACTTTTCATTATGTTCTCATTTGCACCCCATATGGGTTTTCAGTGTTCTATCTTTCAAAATGTTATATTGCTGAGGAAAACCAAAAACAACAAAACAAACAAAACCCCTAGGTACAATAAATCTACACACAGAAAGCATAAATATTTCTAGTAGAAACAAATACATTAGAAAACTGTATGAGTATTTCCCTGCTTCCACCCCTCAGGAAATGAAAAGGATGAGCAATAAAACCAGGATTCCAAATTCTAAAATGAGAAAAAGACTTGCAGCAGTTTAATCACAGTAAAGGTGGATTCCCTCAGCCCAAACCATTCTGTGTCTCAGCTGATGAAGACAAGTCATTCTGACCAATTAAATGATGCTCAGAGATGAGATGAGATGAGCACTGGTGCAGCCTTTCAAAATTTCAATTGTTGTTCTTTTCATGAAACCGTCAAGAATAACTCACAGTAAACGTAAAACTAAAAAAGTTTTACAGTTTCCTAAATTACAGGAAGTAAATATTCTCAGATCTCCTCACACTCACTTTACAATTTCCCCCCCAAAATCAGAAGTCACATTAAGCAGCTGTCAAGTAAAGCACCAGCATTCAAGCAACAAGAGGCCTTTACATGTAAAGCATTTCATTAATTGTTCCACCCAAATTTTGGCAATTAAGAAATAAAATGCACAAGCAGACAAAGCTTTGATATTAATATGCATATTTAACAATTCCTACCCAAGAGTTTTCCATCCAAGCATTGTGCAGAAGTAAAACAAAACACCCTCACTGTGCTGCCACCAAACAACTCCAACTTTTAAAACTTCTTTTTGTTTCATGGTGCCCGTAAAAACCCCAGGAAAAAGTGATTCTGAGACTATAATTTGCACTCAGGTGCTTTAAGTCCCAGTCACACAGACAGAACACTATGAATGGTATGGCTTTTATTTTCTACAGGGGTTTTATTGACAAGCTTATTTTCTTGTAAAGTTTGAAAAGCTAACAATACCTGTCCACATAGAAGGGGAAACAAAACTTGGTCAGAGTCTGTAGAACTTCCTGTAGAGAGAGAGAAAAAAAAAGAGATAATTTATACATCTATGGGGACCAATAAATCTAATATTAACCACATCACACAATTTCACAACTTTGCCCTGAAGAAATAAGAGACAGATGAAGAAATATGGGCTTTATCAATTACATGGAAGTAGTACCAGGCAGTCAATCATGTGAAATAATAAACATGATCAAACTTCATTAAAAATGAAAAATTAATCAAGATTCACACATGGGCAGGCAGCAGGAGCCATCCAGCAATTCTCCAAAGAGGAGGAGGAGGTTGGGTTGTTGAGTGTTAACACCTCTCTGGGGACAGTCCCTACCCTGACCATATGGATCAGAGTGAATAACACCAAACCACATGGGCCTGGCCTGGCAGGGCTGCTCTGCTGGCACAGCTTCTGACTGTTACCTAGGAACAGAGGTCTGGGGGATTAGAGAATACTTCCTAACATCAGCAAGATAAATAACAAAAGATGAAGCCAATAGGTCTCTTAGCAGGAATGTTTAATGTTGCCTACTGCTACAAGAAAGGAAATCTCAGAGTTAAAAGACTGATAAAAATAATGTGTATTAAAATTGATAAGGATTGTTTAACCTACAAACCATTTTCTAGAAGTTGCAAAACAGCACCATGAATAGAAAAGGGTTTAAGAATGAAAGCAAAAAAAAGGGTGAATGTGAAAAATGAAAACATGATCAGCAGATAATTGGTAATTTTCAACTTTACAACATTAAACAAATACATCCACTAAAGAGGCAAAACCAGAAACATGCTAGCCCCAAAATAGTTGTGTTCATAGGCAAAAGCAAACTACTAGATCTTCAAAATTTGAATTCTGTAACCCACAAAACACCACAAAGGTCTCTCAGTTTGCAGCCAATTCATTGCTCATTCTCCTTCACTTCAATATTTCAGGTCCTGAAGTGTAAATTCTATTTCTGCTTTCAAACCCCTGAACAAACAACAAATCCTCTGATAAAATCAACACTTTTCTGACCAACAGCAATAAATTATCATCAATAACTAAAGAGATGCTTCTCGCTTCATTTATTTCTAAGGCAAATGCCATCATTCCCAAATAAACTCCATCAATCTAATAACCTCTCCAGTGAAGCACAAAACATATTGACTCCCTTGCAGGAACATGTTCCTCCTGCATAATTCACACGAGCACAGCCCATCCTGAGCCGTGGTTTCAGGCTCAACTGCTCACACTCTTCTTTGGAGGTTTCTTGACAACTAAAATGTGGCAAGTTCTGAGGATTGCAGGCAAAAACAGATATGGAAACTTTGACTTCTTGACAGTTTATTGATAGATTATTTAACAACCTCCTGTTTTTAAAGAACAAGAAAGGATCTATTGAAGAATGCCATGTAGAGCAAAGACGTCTCCTCCTCTGAATTGCAGCAGGAAACTTGGAAAGGAGCTATGCAGATTGCAGAGTAAACTCTGCAGAAATCTCTACTTTGATACAAAATAATGCCTTGATAGTAAAGGTCTCATTAATATGATTGGGTTCCCTCTGGTGCAGAATCTCACTGACTTTCACAAGCTGAACAACTCCAATTGCTCAGGCACAAAATCTGCACCTGGACAAATTTTAACTAATATTACACAGCCACAACTGAAATCTTATGTGCAAAATGCCAACAAACAAACAAACAAACAAACCCCACAAAATAATTCTAAAATTGTGAAAATATAGTATCAGGAGTATAAAGTGCCTGTATCTTTACTGGCCTTATCAGTACACATTGTCCTCAAAATAATGACTTTACCTATTTGTTCAGAAACGAAATCTTATAGATACATACAATTCTGAAATAAAATAGTGCTAGAAGACAAAGCCATCAGTTACCTCAAAATGGCAGAATATATTCTCTCCATTATTTTGATGACTAGAATAATTCCTGTAACTGCAAGTAAAACCATTCACATAATAAAACAATAAAACATTCAGCATCTCATCAGCATTGTGTCACTGGAGAAGAGCATTACTCAGAACTTACTCTGCACTTGTTCCTTGATATTTACAACTTCCTAAACGTAGCAAAGGAAATGTTCATGCATACAGGCCATATATTGGCTCTGTACTGCTCTAAATTGCCTTCTCTTTTAAAGAAAGATTTTACAGTGGTATTATTGTCTGGCTTTTGCAATGTCATTGGACATAATTTGCCATTCATTATACACCAATTCTTATCTGGCTCAATTCACAACCACAAAAACAAGGTTAAATGCAGACTATTTTTCAATGGTAACTAATAAAAGAATATAAATACCATATGTTGAATTAGTTTTTAATTAGCAAAACTGCTTATCTTTTGCATGTAAGAAACTGGAGAACTATCCCATTTCTGCTCAAGTTGCAGGCTCGTTACTCTAAATATAATGCTGCTTTTTAAAAATTCTTTAAATACTCCTTCGTTTGAAAGATAAGCAATACCTACATCATTCATACACGACGTCCTACCCAACCTCTATAGGTGAGTTATTACTTATGACCTAGAAAATTCTTCATTTCTTTATGATTTCAGACAAAACAAAACCTAGATTCGCTCCATGTCAGCACCTTCTAATTTTTTTTTTTTTTTTACCCAACCTGAAGCACAGAGGAAGCATCAATAGTCTGTTTTCTTGTTTTATTCCCTTATGGCTATTTTCCTAAAGAAAAGCCTGCATAAATGCCTGTAAAGCAAAGAAGCCCCTAAAAAGAAGAGCAGAACCCCGCAGCACTGCGGGACAGGCAGCTGATCACGTCAATCACCCGCAGCTCCGCCGGGCTCTCCGGGGGAACACACGCCGCTTTTCTGGATCAAGCCCCAAGTTTATATTTTCACAAATCTTTTTACATGCAGTTTGATTTTTAACATTTTAATGAGCAAAAAAGTGCATCTCCAGCAGGCAGGCAGCAGAGCTAAAGTGCAGGGCATGAACCGTGTCCCGGGGGAGCCGCGGCACCGGGGGCTGCGGCACAGGCACCACCTGGCTCCCCGTCCCAAGCCTCCAACTCTTTGCATAATCAAAACACTGCTGACATTCTAAACCCCACATGGCTTTTCTAAAATCCTTCCCAATCAATAAAGCCAGTACATAACTTATCGGAGACAACACAGAGCTCATTGATTAAGTTTGGTTTCAGTAGCAAAGTTTTCAAAATAAATGAGGCAGGAACAGTGCGCTCAGCCCTTTTGTGTCACAGCACCTCTGAAGGTGAGGCAGGCTCTGCAAGGTTTCCTACACACAGCACACACTGGAAAGGCAGCCTGGGAAACACACACAATGCACACCGGGCCCGTGCCCCAAACCATCTCTCTGTTGCGACCAAACAGCAAAGAAAGCCCAACAATGCTGAAAAAATATGCACATTCACTTGTGAATTTAATATGCAAGCTGTAGCTGAAGTCTTTTTTATTTTTAAACCCTTCACCGTATGCTCCCACTTCCAAATCAGCAGAACAACTTCAGATTCTCTTAAATACAGTGGGTTGCTTCACTTCTGCTCAAATGAACATCAGTAACAAATATCCCACGTGCAGCTGCAATTAAATAAAACTGCACTGATAAATTATATGCAAATGGCTGGGCTAGGGAAGGGTCTTCAAAGTACCTGCTCCTAGAAAGATGCACGAGACACCAGAGATGCAAAGGGGAACAAGAAGTGTAGGGAGAAGTTCGACAGACAAGAAATTAAAATACCAGGAGATCTGTGAAAAATACTGAATGATTAAGGTATGATACTCACATAGGAATGAGTCAGAGCAGGGAAACAATACATCACACAAACCTACAGGTTGGGAACCTGTAATGGAAAACCTGAGAAAAATCTAGATGAAATTGGAAGGACCACTCAGAGTAAAGACTGGACCTTTAGCTGTGGATCCTGGAGGGGAGGGGGAAAGGAAGGAACCCCAAACCCCACAAGTGTATGAAACAAGAGAAAGGAGCACGGCCAGTGAGAGGAGTTTTCCATGAAGAAGAGATGACTCTGACAAAAAGGTTTCTGTTTCATTTCCCTGCCCTTACACCTGAGGCTGCTGCAAATGAAACTCTACACAGAGAGGGTGGGAACACAAACACTTCTCACGCTACAAAGCCTGAAAGGGCACCTGGAGCCAGCAAAGCTCATGCAACACTCCCTGTGCCATGGAGGGACACCAAGAGACCGCCAAGAACAGCAGCAGAGTGAGGAAGGATGGAGGAGAAACTGGAGAACAAGGAGGGCCCAGAGGAGAAATGCAGGCAGGCTGAGGGTATGTGAGCACAGGGAGCAGCATCCCCACCAGGCAATGCTGGGGACTTCACTGCTCCTCAGGAGCAGCAGCAAATTTAAACACTACAGAAATGCTAATATAGCACTAAAACGTGCAAGAGATTAACTGAAGCAAAATATTATCCAATTAAATTTGGGTTGTCCATTAATCTCCCCTATATCCACAGAACTGCAAACTGCTCTTACATTTAATTCATCTATTTGGATAATTTTAAGCTAATGATTAATTAAATTATTCACTGCAAGGGAACAACATTTAAGAATTCAAAAAGGCAAACAATAACCTTAAACCCAAAATTTCTCTAAGTTCTAAAGGTTCTCCTAGTTTGGAGAAAACTGGTACAACACAGATTCTTTTTAAAAACTCATTGCTTGTTTAAAATATTTATGTTAAATTCCATATTGCATTGGTTTTGCAATAAAATCTTTTTACACCTTATATCAGTACTGAGCATTACTGAATTTTGTAACGTACTGAATATTTTAAGACATTATTTTCATCAGTTCTTTAAAAGAATGTTTGACACTCAAAAAACTTTGGAGATAATTTGCTTAATAAATGACTTTAAATTGCCTGAATTTAGTTTTATCTCTACTTTTCTAATTCTACTGCTATTCCAATACAACTTTATTGCACTAGATTATCCATTTGTTCTGTGCTCCAAAAATCCATCAGCCCTTTCTGAGCAATTCTAAAGCTTGAATTAGGGGAGGGTTTTTTC